CCCCCCCCCCCCCCCCGACCTCGCACACATGCAGCGATTCTCTCGCCGGCCTTGTCTACATGCATAACCAGCGCCTCATCCACCGCGACGTGAAGGCCGGCAATATCCTCCTCGGGATGGACGCCTCGGCGAAGCTCGCGGACTTCGGTGTTGCGTCGCGCCTCAGCTCGCAGACCATGCACCGGCGAACGCTGACCGGCACGCCGTACTGGATGGCCCCGGAGGTTGTGCAGGAGAATGACTATGACGAGCGCGTGGATGTCTGGTCGCTGGGAATCACCTGTATCGAAATGGCCGATGGTCGACCGCCCTTCTCGGAATTTCGTCCGATGCTGGCCATGATGATGATTCCGAGCAAGCCCCCGCCGACCGTTTCGCAGCGTGCGTTTCTCCCTGTCCCCCTTTGCCCCACTCACCTGGCCCCATCTCACCCTGCCCCCGGCATTTTTCCATATGGGGACTACACCCCCGCATGGCATGTGTTCCCCCCTCCCAGCCGAGCGCTTCTCGCCCCTCTTCCTGGACTTCATCAGCCGGTGCCTGGTTAAGGACCCGGCACACCGGCCCAGCTCCAAGGATCTGCTCAGCCACCCGTTCCTGTCAACCGGCGTGTCCCTGGAGCCCGTCCTCACGGAGATGATTACCGCGATTGACCGGATGTCGCAGATCTCGGTGCGTGTCGAGAGCCTTCCTCCGCCCCCTCCCCGCCTGGTGGCCACCTGTTGCCTTGCTTGTTGGCCCCTTTCTCATCTGTGTCCTATCACACCTCCCCCTCCCCGCAGGATGGCATCGCCAAGGCCCATGTGGCGATGGCCGGCGGCCCAGTTGACGTGGGCGTTGGCTCGCCCATGCACCATCCGCAACAGCCGGCGCTGCCGCAGCACCCCCACCAGCAGCAGCAGCATTATCACTCGCAGCAGCCGCACCACCCTCCACCGCCGCAGCCGCAGCCGCAGCCGCAGCCGCAGCAGCAGCAGCAGCACTACATGAAGCCACATCCGACGGCTTACCTTCTGCAGCAGGGCGGCCACGCTGTCTCCCCGAATGGGAGTACCGCCAATTACCAGTCGCCGGCGGGGACCCCTCGGCCGGCAGCCGGCGGGGCCTTCCCCCCGCCACCGCCGCCAATTGCCCTGCCCTCCCCGGGGTCCGGGTCCGGCGAGCTGGGCGGCAATTCCCTGGCGCACCACCACCCCCCCCATTCGGCTGGCGGTGGCTCGGGTCAGCCCGCGTGGTGGAGCGGTCCCGGTGCTGGGCGACACCCCTCCCCTCCAAACTCGGCCCCGACGACTGGCAGCAGCAATCCCAGCACCTACACATACAATGGCAGTGCCACCACCGGCCCGACGGCGGCCGGCACATCATGGAACCTTCCGCCTCCCAGCCCCACTGCCGGCCATGCTCCCCTTCCGTATGGCGCCACTGGCGGGCATCAGACCCCCCTGCCGCCGGCCCCCACTCGCGCGGCTCCCCTGCCGCCAGGTGCCACCTCGCCGGCGCCCCTGCCCGGACCCATTTCTCCGCCGCCCCTGCCGCCAGCCTCGGCCCCCGGGACACAGCAGCACCCCCCGCCAGCCATTGCCCTGCCAGCGCCTGCCACCGGTTCCCGGCAGCTGGACGGCACCTCGCCCCCCTCCTCGAAGCCCGCCTCCCCCACCTTGCAGTCGGAGCTTGGCGCCCTGCAGCACCCGCCGCCGAATATCCCCCTGAAGAATGTGCGTACACACATGTCCACACAGAGGCACACACATATATGCGCCAGTCTGCCCCCC